GCAGCAGCTCCCTCACCAACACGTTCTGAGCAGTGCCCACTCCGGGGAACTGGTGCCAGTCCCAGACGTGCCAAGTCTCTGCTGGATTGTGAAGTAGATCCGTGAAGGTTCCTCGAGGAAGATGAATTATTTCTCCATGACTTACACTCCTGGCAGCCCCTTCCTGCCCGGCCAGGGCAGTGTGAGTGCTGCCTCTCCCTGCTGCTGGAGCACTCCTAGGGAACATTAATTCACTCCTCAGTGAACCACAAAGATGTTGGCAGAATAACTGATTTGATAGCTCAGTGCTTCTGTCACACTCTTAGTGTGCAGGAGACCAAAGGTTCTCTCTGGCCTAAAAAAGTATCACTCCTGACAGGTTGGGAGACATTGCTGGCCACTTAACTCCTGCTTCTGGAAGCACCACAGGGAGAAATAGGTGAAAAATTAATGTCCTTTTTTTTTAGCTTTCTGCATGGGGCAAGGATGAAAACACAGGCTGAGTCTAACAGAGATATTTTAATTTGTTTGCATTGGAAAGGAAACAGAAGTGCTCTAATAGGATTCAAGTTTCATCTCAGAATTTTAAAGAATGTATTTTTCTTGACTTTTTGGTTTTATTTAAAGTACTTTTAATCAAGAATGCTCCTTTAAAATAATGTTTTTGAAGAGTGTGATTTCTTTTTAATCCACTCGTCCTGGTTATTTTGAGCTGAGTAATTTTTAATGAATTCTTAGCAAACAAAATATTCCATTATTTACACAGTTCTTCTTACAAGCAATTATAAGTGTCAGTAACACTCTGAGAACCAGACCTTTTGCCAGTGGCTTGCATGACATGGATTTGAAAGACAGATACTATTAGAAGAACAGATCCTTCAAGCTGTGAATGAATTCTTCCCTGTTAGAGTGGTGAGGCACTGGCACAGCAATCAATTAAATTGTGCTGAATCTTCATTCTCAATGCTTTTGGTGATTGTTTGGGAAATATTTCCAGGCATTTGCTGTAACAAATGAGGGACTTGAAGTAATTTAATCTACCATACGTTTTAGATTCAGAGCATCCTTTCAGTGAAGAAAGTTGAAGGAGGAAATTAAGACCAACATCCCCTGCTTGCCATGCACAGGCATTCCCAGCACTGGAGATGAGAAGGATTTTCAAGAGGAGGGGAGTCAGAACCAAGCAGTAACAGAGTTAACCAGAGCTGGCTTGAATTTTATGGGGGAAATAAGTCAATTTTGAGGTTTTAGAAGGAAGGGAACATGCTCGGAGTGGTGAGAAAAGGGAAATATTTTAATGGCAATAATTCGGACAGACTGAACCAAAGAGGAGAGAAAAGATTTGATCAGAAAAGATCTTGAAGGAACCAGTGCATGGGAGACACTGTTGTCTGGGAAGAAGCTGGATTTTGAGGAAAACACAGTTGTAAGACCTGTGGAGGTTTTACATGGAAGCAGAGGAGAAATGCAGTGGCTGGTTTCATCACCCTGACAGCAGGGAGTGCTCACAGTAAGGATAAAATGAAAGGACACAAGGATATATGCAACTTCCAAACCGTGTCCCTAAGCACAGGTCCTTTAATTACCTCCAGGGTGGTGACTCCACTGCTTCCCTGGGCAGCCTGTGCCATGGGTGGACGACCCTTTACATGAAGACATTTTTCCTAATATTCAACCTAAACCTCTCCTGGTGCACCTTGAGGCTGTTTCCTCTTGTCCTATCTCTTGTTCTCCCTGATTTTATGGTACATAGGGGCTACCTGGGTACAGTCACTTACGATATGTGAACATTCAACACCATCTCCCCAGCTGGCAGAACCTATAGGGAAGCTCCTTCCCTATCCTCACTTCTTTCTGATTCAGAATTACAGGGAGGTCTTCCCTGGTAAAATCCAGAGGAACACAAAAAAATGGTATTTCCTGGATGACATCCCACAGAGAAGCAGCTTCTCAGCTGGTCCATTAGAAAACCATTTGCCAGAAATCAATTAAAATATGATGGACACATGAAATAAAATAGATATAAATCCAACAGGAAATGGTAATTAACAAATATTAGTAGACAATAGACACACATTAATTACAAGCACTCACCAGTGAGAAAGATTGGGTTGCCTTATCCTGGGAAAAACAAGGATCAGCAGGATACACAGGGAGTTGTAGCAGATGTATTATCACTGCAGGCAGGCAATGCAGAGGGTGGAAAAAACACTATTACAGAGGAAAAAAATTATGTCAGACACAGGAAGAAAAATACTCCCACATTTAAACATCATTTAAAGGTAACTTTTGATATTTTTAAGGTATTTAAAATTTAAACAGCAGTTAAAGCTTCAGACTGTGCAAAAGTGTTTGAAAAGTTTTTGAAGTATTGTAAAAACATAAATTTATACCAGTAGGAATTCAGAGTCACTGAGAATTAAGAAATCATAGTACTGTGAATGAATTTTGAACTCTGTCCTACAGTGAAATGGGTGACAGATCCTGTACCCTATTGGAACACTTTGGTACCACCAAAACAGAAATATGAAATAGCTGCCACCTATGAAATATGAAATTACTACTCAGAGGAGCTGCTTGATGCCTCTTTCTTCTCACACAAGTGAGGTTACAGAAAGAGCAGCAGCAACACAGCCAAGTTATACCATTAGTGAAAAGATGCATCTAAGAGAAAACTCCTTTCATCTGATGTGTAGGAGTAGGAAAGCTTGCCTATATCTTATTTTAGGAGAAGATTCTTCTATTATTTGTCACATGGTAATTCCAAAATATCCTAATGAAGTGAATAGTCTAAATATATATGTATATATATATATATTTCTGCGTACTAATATAGATGTTTTCACACATAAAGGATAAGAGATTCTAGATCTTGATAATTAACTGGATACATGTGGAAGCCATCTGGACCACCCAACTTCCAGCTTGGTTTCCATAGTGTCTCACTCCTTCCAACACTTGCTGAACCCTAAATTATCACAGCTTTTGAGGCATGCTGGCTGTAATTAGTGTGGTGCTGGGACATTGTGCATCAAATCTCTGCAAGCCCTTTGGCTGCCTCCTCTGGGTGTTTTAATAATGAAGGGACGGAGTAGAGTTTTCCTTTATTAGAATAAACCCTTCAGTGCTGAATAAATCAGGGGTTCTGTCATCACCTAGACAATTTAAAATGACAAGGAGTGGAAAATAACACAGAGGCAGCCACTGGTATCTCTGGCCAGCTTCCTGAAATTTATATATTTATGATATTTATATATCATTATATATATATATATATATACAGCTACAAACCTCCATAGGGATTCTTTTTCCTTCCAGGCTCTCTGTACTGCAGTGTTTGATGCATCCAAAGGAAAAGAGCCCCACAATGAGAGGGTTTCATCAGGAGGAGAAGCTCCCAGTGCCTTTGGAATACCCAGGAATAATCACTGCAAAGGGCCACCCTGCATAAAAGCTTCTCTCCTAATGGAATGCAATTTTCTCTCCTTCTGTGTGGCAGGGAACAAAATGTCATCCTCATCTGTTTATCTCTCTTATTTTTTTTTTTTTAAAGTTACTTTAAAAATGTCAAACTGCCCAGGCTGTCTGTTATCATTTACAAGAGTAGAGATTAGTGCCTCATCCTAGTGTAGGATTTGTATCAGTGTGTCTCACACAGACATTTTCTGGTCCTTCTTCGTCTTTAAACTATGTTCTGTTCATACTCATTCAAAGCCCATTTTTTAAAATGAAAAAAGCACTTTCTGAGACTTCACAAGTCACAAAACCAGGCTGCTTGGAATTCTTTTTTTTTCTTTTTCTTTTTTTTACCAGTAGTTGCAGGGCAAGTATTAAAGAAAGTTACTTTAAAGTAACATTGAATAGCAGATCTGTGGAATGATTCCCTTCCAGCTCACTCCTGTTGGAATTCAGAGCAAGGAATTGATCTTTTTCCCCTTCTTTTTAATTCTATTTCGGTTTTGAAACACCGGGGACTATTCAGCCTTTATTTCGTGTCACACGCCGCTACCCCTGGGTTTGTTTGGGGTTGTTACTGATGTTTTTAGCAAACAGAAGGTGTCAAACCCAAACCAGGTTTCATAACAAAGCCATTACATAACTGCCCAATTAGTAGCTCGTTCGCTGCTATTAATAGCAGCCTCCACATCCAACCCGCTTGGTTCGGTGCTACAATAACTGGCAAGGAGAGGCTTCACATTATTCATCCTCAGAGGAGAATAAATGAACTTCGTGGAGATTTATGAGAGTCAGAGTAACGTGCTGTTTATATGCTGCCAGCCTGCTGCCTCTTCCAGTGCTCTTTGCTTTTCCCGACTCCCAGGAGATGTTCAACTCCCGTGGACTGTTCCTAAAAATCTGCATGTAATTAGATATCTATGTGCATCTCTCACAGAGACAGAGGTGCTCTCAAGCCAGGAACTCTCTCTCTTTGGAACAGTATCTATAATTTGGTGTTATCTCTCGTGTTCACACTGACTGACACAATGGAATTAATTCTCCAGAGACAGTGATGTTTTACTGTGGTTCCATTGGAGTTTCACCCCAAAGTTGGTTGTTGTTGCCCTCCATTCCAGCTATTTTGGGCTGGATGTTTGTCTTGCTGTGACCACTTGAGCAGAGGAATCTGAACAGTCTTCTGGAAGAATTCAACTGGAGTTTTCCTCATTTCAAGCCACTTGAGCTGCTGACCACAGAATCTGATCCAGAACTCCTTGTGCCTTTCTCTACAACACTTCTTTTATTCCCAAAGGAGAGATCAGATCTGATTTCTATTTTTAAAATAAGCTACTTTAAAGGTTGTAGCGTGTGAGCTAGTTAGATCTTACATTCCTCTGTTGCTGAATTCCAACGTGGAAATAAAGAATTTTGTGAAGAGGTTTTTCCATGGCCTAATGACAACCTTCCACTCTTCATCACAGAAACTTCCTTTTATACCGAGTCTTTCATCTGACATAAAGATGGGTCAAATCCAGGTGTATGTATACATATATACATGCTTTTAAAATAATTTCATCTCTCCCCTCCCTGGGTATCTCCACAACTTCTCAGTGTCAGTCTGGCTGAGGTTTTACATCTCTCATGCTCTCCATCTCTTCACTGGATCATGCTTCCCCATCAGCTGCTGTGTACAGGGACACCACAGTCTCTTCCACTCCTTTTCCCTAGGCACAGGTTGCTTCAGAATTAAGGATCTGCTTACATCAGTACAAAATGAGCCACATAATTAAAGGGCTTGACTGAATATTGATTCAGGTTTCTGTTTGGGCGTTGTTTCCTTGTTGATGTAGTTGTTCTTCAGACCTCAGGGCTTGACCTACAGATATATGCCCTCCCTGGGGAAAAGGAATGGGAAAACACAAGGAGAAGGATTTCCAGAGTCACCTACACGGGTTAGTTGAAACACAAGAAGAACAGGCACATTCTTTCACAGCCTTATTGAACTCATACAGTGTAAACCTGCAGCAATGTCTTCTCTTCGGTTTGTCATTTCCTTTCTTCCTTTTATCCATGTTCTCACTTCTCTCTTTCTTCCCATAAACTATTTAAAAGTTAATAATCAATGTAAAGCCGGAATGCAAAAATGTGAAATGTACCTGGCCGGGTAGAAAACAGCAATCAAATTTTCTTTCTGAAAATACTTTAAAAGACATCACCTTGATTTTGACAAATTCCATGTAAAAAGGGGGGAAAAAACTAAGGTAGAAGCAAAGAAAGATTTGAATAACAGTTTTTCAGAACTCAGTAAGGCATTCAGAACTGGAACAGGCTGAACATCTCTGAATCCTGTCTGAGCTTCAAAAGAGACATTGCAGGGATTGCAATAAATTAGGCTGCTATTCTCCCATTTTGCTGAGAAAATGAGTGTCATTTCTGTGTAGAAAAACTGGGTAGGATAAGCCTTAAGAATGGCTGGCAAAAGAACTTGGCAGAGAGAAACAGGCTTCCCCCTCAAACCCAGTGAACCAGCTCACCTTCGGTGTAGACCTGTCAAGTGAAAGCCTTACACAAAAATGCCTGTGACCCACTTAGTTTCGTAGAAAACGTGGATGTGACGCTCTCAGATAAAGAATCATATATTGCCTGAGTGCTCAAAGCTACTTACACGAGAGAAGATTGCTTTATAAGTAAGGATTTGTAGGATCCAAAGAGCATAAGGAACGCCCGGCTGTGTCAAACCAGTGGCCTCTCCAGCCCCTCCGTGTTTCTTGGAGCAGCAGGAGGAAATGCCAGGCAGGAAGAAATCCTTCCCTGGGAGGGTGGGGAGGCCCTGGCACAGGTTGCCCAGAGAAACTGTGGCTGCCCCATCCCTGGAAGCATCCAAGGCCAGGTTGGATGAAGCTCTGAGCAACTCAGTCCAGTGGAAGGTGTCCCCTGCTTTTTTTGGGAGTCCTGACTCTGGCTTTCCATGATACACAGCTCCAATAGTATTTTACCCACAGTTAAAAAAAAAAAAAATCAAACCATCCAAGCTGCTTTTCATCTGACAAACCTACAAGTGAAGGATTAATCTGCCCTGAGTGATTGAGAGAGATAAAAGCTTTGTGTTGAGTTCAGCAGCCCTGCCAAAGGGTTCAGAAAGCCGCTTCCCAAGTGTTAAAATAGTGCCCTCATCTGCATTTGTATTTAGCATCTCTGCAAGTAGCTTATGCACAGTCCCACCCATCACCTGCAGAAGAAGGGTTATGTATCTATCCATGATATAAGATTTCTTCTTTATTGCAGGATGTGGGGACAGGGCTGTGGTTGTTTCTTTTCATCACCTTCCAATCTCAGCTGAAAAATAAGATCTATATGACCTTGAATGAGGAAAAGATATTTTCTAGATGATTAAAGCAAAGTAGTTCTGTGCAGCTCTCTGCCCTCCCTGCACTGATTATCAAGGTTTACTTATTTCTTTTCAAAGCAAAAAAGAAAGATTCAGACCATCAAGTACCAGTAATGCACTGGCTCTACCAATTATGCCCATTTTGGGAAGCTCATAGAAAAATTACAAGTTTTCAGTGTGAAAAAGACATATGATAATAAAAAGAGGGAGAAGCCTTTGGTTGAGACCCTTTCCCATAATGTGTTCTTCTTAACAGGTAAGGTTGAACATCAGCCCCTAATATTTTTCCCAGCACATTTGCTTTGCCTTTCAGACTCTTTTTTTTTTTAAGGTGGATGAATGTGTTTAATAACTGAACCACTAGTAATGGAATTATCTCCCGTGTCTCTATAAAAGGAAAGCATATGCTTTTATATAAATTAGTTATAAGCAAACGCCACAGTTGAAGTTATGGGCATTATAAATAATGCCTGTCAGCTGAAATCTTCATCAAGTTGAAAATTTAGGTTAAGTGAAGGGAATAACAAGGAACCAGGGAGATTCAAGGTAGAAGTAACCTCCCAGTTTTCATACTGACAGGCATGGTGATGTATTGATCTCTCTGGCTGCAATAGCTGCCAGCAGGGGATTTAAATGCTGCCAGCAGGTAAGGAGTTCATCACTGAGAAGGTGGTGTTTTAGGGGAACCTGAGCTCAGTCCTGCCTGGGATTAACTGCAGACTTGAAACTACCCAGTGATCATTAAAACTGAGGAGGTCATTTAGAAAGACAGCAGTGGGGAATGAAAGGGCTCCTGCAGGAGATATCCTGGATCACAGAAAATGTCTGCTCACTGTCCCATCTTAATTAACTTAGAAATATGCTTGCCTAACTGAGTATTTGCTAGTTTACTTCTTTTCAATCAGATCCATAAGAACAGAGTGGAATCTGTGAAATTGCAATGAGGATTACAACATTTGAGGCAACAGGAAACCTTGGCAAGGAATTTAGGAGCTCCTTGGTTTTCTTTCCAGTTTTTCTTCCCTGACTCCTCTGCAGGTCAGCCTGCCTATGGGCCTTGTCTTTGCTCCAGGCATGAAGGAATTGAACATATAGGGCCAGAAGGATGCTTCTGGGCCATATATATGGGCGGGATTCACCTCTCATCTTCCTCTGCTAATCAGATTAAAATTCTACTCCAAGCCAATACAACATTATCAGTTAGAAAACTTCCCTTAATAGCCAGCCCACACATCTCCATTTTCAGCATGGAGCCATTTGTTCTGCTCCAGTGCTGCCCTTTAATTTCCATTATGCCTGTCCCCAAATGCTGTTAATGCCATTTCTGTGTTCAGAGAGCAGTTGCATCCTCTCTCAGTCTTTGGTTTCAGTCTCTGCTCGGAAGACAGGTTTTCCTTTTCCCTGTCATCCTTGAATGGCTGTTCAGAGCTGTTCAGAGCACGCTGTTCCATCCCCTGGCAGCTGTTCAGATTGCATTTGCTCTTTCTCAAATATGGCAAAGCCAAACTCTACATATTATTTATAATTACATGTCCAAATCTCATTAGAATTATTCTTTGGGGTGGAGGGGGATATCTCACCAGCCATTCTCCATTTCTGCTTAAAATACAACAATATGTTTATACCTACTCTGATAAATTCTGGCACCACAAATCCCATATAACCATCATCTGAATAAGGCAAAGCCAAGCCTATCTCCAAGTAGCTGTTTCCAAGTGATGCTCACAGACTCAACTGGAGACAGCCAAAATTCAACAGGGATTTGGTCCAAGAGAGGAGACTCCCTCCCTCTCCACGAGAGAAGAGAAGGCTTGGACTCAGGCACGAGTAGAGTACACCAGATTCTTGATTCATCAACATTTCTCCTCTTACCTGTGTTCTCCTTTCATTTATAAGGAGTGATAGAAATAAATTGTTTCTGTGGGGAACAGTTGTGTTTCTGTCCCCATTTTGTTTAAAAAGCCACAATCTACCTAGTGTTTTTCCATTAGTGAACTAGCAGACCACTGCACTGTGTAAATATAGCATATATATCATACTGATGCATTTCCTAACTAATCATTTCTTGAAAACAGACTCGAGTTTCTCTGTACAATTCAGAATGAAATAGCATGGCCCCAAATCCCATTTTTTCCTGACTTTAGCAGTGCATTACTGTATTTCCAGGGGAGATATATATGAGTTACCGAGTCTGATTGTGCAGTAATTGCCGTGCAGGGATTTACAACCTTTGCTATCTCGTTGTTAACAAAGGAACCTGCCAAACACGAGCTTTCCTTTCAGGAAAAACAATTAGCCATGCACAATGAAATCATGGATTGTTGCTATTTTGGAACTTTTCCGAACTTTTGGCAGGTTTGCTCTGGAGACTCATATAACCTCTTGCTGCAGGATGGTTGGGACCCCATAAATATCAAGGTCAAGAGCAATCTCTGCTTATAATTGTCCAAAGAAATAAGTTTCTGGCTCCTTTCATGATGTCATTGACATTGAGAAAAATAATTGCTGAAGTTAAAATGTCTCTTGGTGACCTGTCTTGCAGTAAAATTGCTGTAAAATTGCTTACTCACAGTCACAACCCCCCCCCAGGGCTGGGGTTTGTGACCTGCCAGCTGTCTGATTGTGACTATTAGTTTGGGAGGCTGGATGGTTTAGGAAGATTAGGATAAATTCTCTGCATTGATCTCCGATTGAGAGAAGAAATGGCCCTTTTTCATTTGGAGATGGATCAGTGGAAATAATTTTCAAATACTACTGACTATTCACGAGCTGAAAACAACTGTTAATTCCTTGCAGCAGCAGAGTTTTCTTATTTAAAAGGACCATCATTGGTTCAGAAATGACTCCTAAATTATCATGCCATTGTCCTCCCTGTCCCACAGGGAAAGAGAAAAGCCATGAGTGCCCCACTGGGTGTGTAAAAAGCTTTAAAAACCATCTTGGATAGTTCTCACCTGGTGTTGAGCCAAGGGTACACTGTTCAGGAGACCCTTAAACCAGCACAGAAGGGAAAAGCTGAAACAGGACAGGGAGAGCAAAATCATTTAGCAGTCAAGATGACAAGAAAAAAACCTAAGGAGCTGCTAAGGAAAAGGGAAGATGTAATTGAAATCTATTGCAGGGGATACATAAAAACAATTTGAATTTTTTATTAGTTAGCATGAATCCATTTTAGCTACCAGTACTTGCATCTGGTGGAATTTTGGGGGTTGGTTTGTTTGGTTTTTTTCTTCATAAAATAACTGTTAAATTACTGCTTGGAACCAGAATCAACTGGGTAAAAGAGAAGTAATATCAGTAAATGTAAAAAATGTAGGTAACCATGATGACAACAAACTGGATACTCAGTGTCTTGAACAGAGCTCCACAAACTGATGCACAAAGGGGAATCCACCATGATTTTCTTCAACAAGAACATCCTTGAGCACTAAGAGTAGGAGTAAGTAACTACCTGTAGTTTGATGGCAGGCTCAGGCCTCCTCTGCTGCAACAGCCTCAGGATTTCTGCAAATTACAGAAGAGTCACCAAACTCAAGAAGCCATTTCCAACCCTGAATAACAGTATATTTTACTTGGTGTTTAAGAGACAGTTTTTCACAAGCCAAAACCAATTTTAAGCAACACGAGGTGTGAGAGAAAAAAGAATTAAACTGAAGAAAGTGACAATTGAGGAGTTAATAAAAATAGTTGGAGTAGATGCCCCCAAAACCACAAGCTTGGGCTAAAAAAAGAAAACTGCAGGTTGGAAAAGCAGCCTGGCTGTGAAGGAAATGAAAGTCACAACAAAGCAAGATAAATATTGCTGTTTTCATTTCCTTGCTCTGTTCAACAGCATTCCCTTCATTCCCAGGCATGGGCCGAGCCATGGAATAGAAGAAGGAAAAGGTGAGAGCAGTGAATACAAATGAAAAGTTGCACTTAAAGGAAGAGAAACAAAGGGCATGAAAATATGAATATGGAAGGAGAGGTGAAATACTGAGAGTTTTTAAAAAGTACCTTTGCTTCCTGTGCTGACCGTGGTGGTTTCGGACCAGTTTGGGAAGCAGGACCAGGAGCATCACTCCCACCTCCCCAAAAGCACTTTTCCAGATGTGAAGTCGTGAGATGCCAAGGGCAGGTTGTACACCAGAGAGCAAAGGACAGCAGCTGAAAAGTAAAATTGAAAATGACATTTTGAGGATAGAGAAGTATAGAAAATTTCGGTAAATGCAGCTGTCTGGGAAAAAGGCCCAGGGCCTGTTTCAAGCTTATTAATGCCAACAGCAGGTTTTTGAGCCTGGCAATGGGTAAAGACACTCCTTTTCTGGGTAAAATATCACAGTGATGCTGTGAGGTGACCTTCAAAGCTGTCCTTTGCAGAAGGAGCTGCGAAGGAACCCTCTGATCTGCCCATCTCAAGGACAAGGTCAGCAGGAACACATCCCTCATAGGGCTTGGCCCAAGCTCCTTCCCCTTGCCTGAGTCAATCACATACAAATTAACTTGGGCTTCTATGTTCTCCTCATCTCCCCTCACAGCCTTTCACCAACCAGGTATTTAAAATAAGTATTTCCTTCCTCCATCACTTGCTAATGTTTGTTGTCAGCCCAAGGTGAGAGAGAAAGAAATTCATGTAGCAGGATCCCGAGGCTGCCCATTCCTTTGGAACCTGATGCTTTATTTCAGCAGCTCTGCTGGGTCCCACTCTTTCAAAGCTTTCCATTTCTTGCCAGCTCAGGGGCTCCAGTTTCAAGGTTTTCTTTACGGTAACTCCTGGCTGTCCCAAGCCAAATGTACATATTTTTCAGCATAGATAAATCCCTTTCTCTCACATCTGAGAATAAGACAAATATATGGGCATTCAATATGTCTTACTATTAACAGGGACAGAAACAAGGCGGCCAAGGCAATAAATTCCAGGAGAGAGGCTTCTCCCAGAGGACCAGAAGGAAGTAAATGAATATAGGTACATATGTGAGGCAAGGCTGAGCCCCAAACAAGACATCTGTGGAAGGGAGGGAGAGAATAAATCTCTCCCTTACTCTCAGAGGAACTGCATTAATCTTGCCTCAATTAGGCTTTTCTTAACTATTGCTGTCCCCCCATGAGCAAGCAAATAAAAATCCATAGGAAGGGTGGAAAGAGGAGAGCCACAGCCAAGGCAGAATGTCCCCTTTGGATACCTGGAGAAGAAACACCTTCCATTTTCACTCCAGTGGGGTACAGAGTATATCTCCTGTTCAGTAACAGAAAGGCACAGTCACTTCTCATGGCCATGGTTCACTCCCACCCACACAGCAATTCCCGTGGTCTGTGTAAGGCAAATGTTCCTTCCCTGGGGAAGTCTCTTTATAAGGTGCTGACAACCAGCGATCTGCTAATCTGACTATCCCAGAAGGTGTGTTTGTACCCCCACAGAAGAGCAGGCAAGAACACCAGGATGCACCCATATGTGCCTTAGGTGTGTGGGAGGTGGGAATTTGGAGGGGACCTTTGGAGGCTTCCACATGTAACCTCCAGACATGCCAGTGTTGAGGTGTTTAATCATCTCCTGTGGGCAAATGACACACAATGCAGAAACAGGCACCAAAATTATTCACAGCTTTCTTACCCAAGTGCTGTTTACATTTGTTGAAAGCCCAATCTGCTGCGGTCAGCGAGATCCACCTTCTCTATTTCTGCCAAAAAAAAAAAAGAGTATGTATCTCTTCATCTACCCATCCATCCACCCATCATCGTCTCCTGTATCACAGCACCACAATTCCCTATAGCCAGCGTTGCATTAACACAAGGTAGTGGTTCCCCACCCAACTTCTACTCAGAGCTTGAACTCTTGGAGGCTGGGGCCATCCCATATTCCATGTTTTCTCAGTGCCCAGCACAACAGCAGCCCTCGGGTGACCTCCACATGGTCCTTTTCCCCTGTCCTTTGCTTATATAACGCAGATGATTCATTAATATGAAGTCGCCCGGAACACAGAACATCTGGGTCTGCTTTTTATTTTTTTCCTTATCCTGTGAAGTTGTCAAGTCAGCTCTGGGATATTTTGCCTAGAGTTGATCCTCAGAAGGTTCATGTAATTAGGATGGGAAATCCTTTCCAATTTCATCTTTTGGGGGATAATCCCATGTTGGTATATGCTATTTCCTGACGGGTGTTTGTGTCAGGAGAACATCTTTCTTCCTAGCTGTGTCCTTCAACTAGTTTTGGAAAAGATAATCCTTGAGTCATTAACACTTTCTGTGGCCCTGTTGAGCTTGGCAGCATTTTCTCACCCCATACTTCTCAGTCATTTTTTTCCCTATGCATATTCCCAGGAAAGGCTCCTCCATCTGTTTGGCATTTTAATGCTGGGATGAGGCTCTGTTTATTGGGGGATGTGGCTGTTTCTACATAGGGTATTATCAGTTTTGCTTGTGAAAACATACCAGCTTTGTAAATTTGAGGGTAATGACTTATGGCCCAAATGCTGCTAATTCTCTCATTACTGGTCAAACAAGGACTTTTTTTTCCAAATGTCAGATGGTGAGGAGAAATTTTATCTCCACTTCTTCCCAGACTACCTTTTTTTGCTAGCAGGGGAAAAGTGAGGAGAGGGGAGAGCTGGACACAGATTTTAAACATATTTGGTTTCAATCAGCATTTAAAATCTGACCAGTTCTAGTTAATTGCAATTTTTTTCCCTATTTTCATCAAAATGTCATACTTTGAAATCTGATTCAAAATTGACAAACTAGTTAATACTTTATAAAGTTCATCTGGGTTTTTCTTTAAATGTAGTGATATCACAACACAGTCAGTTACTCTAGGTTTTAATAACAAAAAAACCCCAAACAAATAAACTCCCAAATTAAGCTCCGTTGTAACAAATGTGTTTGTATTTTTCTTAGCAAGGAGTTACTGTTGCTACAATTGTAGCAAAGTGGAGATAAACAGCTGGAAAAATGCCTATGGGACACACTTCATAGCCCAGACCTTGATGTAAAGTCTAGAAACATTAATTAATATTAAACATTCCATCGTGTAAGAGGCAGTTATTACTTATATTACAACTATCTAGAAGGACACAACCCTTTAGTCTGGCTGTATTAGATTATTGCATGGCTGGTGATTCTCACCCATTGTGAAATCCTTCTAACCCATTTCACAGTTTTCAGTCTTTAACCAAGATCTCTGTTGAGATTCAATTTTAATTGAATGCATATTAAGTAATTGTTAAATATTGGACATTTATAAGTTTTCTTGACCTTGAACCTAATTATATATTTTACAGGGAGGCAAAGTAATTGATTATTATAATAAAACCATAACCAGTATATAGTTGATTACACACTGGATGACATCTTGATGTATGTATCTTGCTATCACAAAAAAAAATCTGAATGTCGACAAAAAGAAGAAGAAAATTCTAAAAAAACCCTATCTAAGAACTTCACATTATTGCCATGTCATGAGCCACAAGATTCCAAGAGTACTTGAAATTCCCTGGAGAGCTGAGAACCAAGACTGACTCGATTATTCACCTGCCTTTGCTGCATTTGCTGAGTTGTTTTGTTGGGAGAACGAGGAAAATGTTTGGTTTACTCTTATATTTAGTTAGTGCTGGAGGTTTTATGCTGTATGTTTTCATTTTATAGCAAAACCTTCTCGTGACTTGGATGCACCCACCTTTTGCCTGTTCCCCATGGACATCCCTCAGGAATAAGGAAAACCTTCTGTCTCACTTTTAGCCAAACCACAGCAATATCTTCTGTTTCCTTCTGTTCCAAAACTTCCCGCTACTGGAATCTAAGTGCCTTCTTTGCTGCCTTGATGGAAAAGATTTAAAATTTGTTTAAGTAACTGAAGTAAGAGCAGCAAATTTGTCATTTGCCTCGGCCAAAGCTGCTCCTAATGCTGCTCCAAGCCCCAGTGCTCCCCCTGCATCCCTATCCGATGCTGGCAGATGCTGAGCCTGCGTGTCTGCCCTCGGGGGATGGAGCCATAAATGTCTTCCTCAAACCCTCATCCAGCCCCGTTCCCCCCACAGCAAAACTTAATGACTTCGCACAGGAGTCCAAAAACAAACGAGGTCCCTCACTAAGAGCAATTCTAGTCAGAGTTTACTTGTCCTTGCTTGACCTCAGCCTCCTCAGCTTTTGCTCTTTAAAATCCGTGTATTCCGTGGGTGGTGCTCATGGCATCTCCCTGACAGGGATGAAAGGCAGCCCTGAACAACCAGTTTATTATAGAGTAGATCTGTGACCAAAGAGGGAATGATTTCCCATTAAACTGAAGGCATGCAGAAATAGGATTGAAGAAAATGAGTCCAGCTGACGTGAAATGCATGGCCTGAATGGTCTGGGCACCAGTCTTGGTGACAGTGGGGAATGAAGTTTATAGCATTTGGCACAGAACTGAGGCAGATTCGTGGTGTTAAGTGTTTTGTCAGTGTTTATGGGCTGGGGCAAAGCTTAATATGTGCTAGAAAGCAGAGGGTAAATAAAAAGATATGAGTCAGTTCTGTTGGTTTGGTTTGTTGGTTTTTTTCCCCCTGAAAACTCATGTTTTAGAGCTGATACTGCACTTGGTGAGAACCCAACTCACGATTTCTGCCTGTCTGGGTTGGCAGGACTCAGTGTTTGTTACCAGCGTGGTGTTGCTGTGAACACTTCTACAACAAAGATCACAGAACCATGGAACCACTAAAGCTGGAAAAGACCTCCCGGATCATCATCAAGTGCAACCACGGCCACTGAACCCACTGAATGAATGATATATTCTGAAGATTGAAATTTGACTTGAGGAAAACATAGGAACATATTTTCTGTTCATTTTTGGTGATACAGGCCAACATAAAACTCAGGGGGGAAAAAAAAGTTTGTTCTGTGAGGTTGGATACACTGCTAATAAATAAAAAATGAAATCAGATTACAAACACCAGATCCTCATGCAACGTAATTCACTTCCCTTCCACTGATTTAAGCAAGTATTAAATTGATTTAAAGGCAGCTCTGTCAACTTCTATCACCAAGGGGTTTGGTTCTGAATATCTAAGAACTTGATTTCTTCAAGTCTTTTATATTTATCATCCCCGTGGTGCACAGAGAGGCTGAGCATGTCTCTGCCAGACAGTTGAATAAAACCCAGATCCCTCACCACGTGACCATGGTTTAGATCACTCCATGTAGGAACACATATGGATACAGAAGTACATTTTTTTGATATATATTTTAAAAATATATAAATAAATATATATTTTATATATACATGAAAATAAGCAAAACTACACAGATGACATAGATAACTTATTAAATTATATATATTTATAAAAATATTAACAAAAAAATTACCAATTCCTTATGGCTTGATCCCATGCCTTGTCTTTGCTCCCTCACGTTTATTCATTCTCTCTTCACACTGCCTTGCCCCTGAAGGCTCAGGATCTGTAACCAGAGAGAGAATAACTTCTGTAAATCTCAAATTACAATAATCCAGGATTTAAGAAGTAAAATGGTACCATTACAGCAGATAATTGTAACTCTGGAGAAATAGGTCAGAGCCGCAGTTCATCTCGGTGCTGCTACCAACAAATGAGGTCAGGTTTTGCTTTCTTTATGTGCTGTTGCTTTAAAAGAAAAGAGCTTTTTTTTTTTTTTTAATTTGTATTGATGGGGAGTGAATTCTCAGGCAGCAACACTAAAAGAGATAAGGAGTAGGAATTAAATCTCTGGTCTGTGTGGCCCTGGGTATCCAGTCCCACCCAACAACAGGCACAAGTCAATGCTCCTTTCAATATTCCTTACAAAATCACAAACATTGTTCTAATTCAGTTGCATACAACGTGTGTGCAAACATGACAGGATTTTCCAAACGTTCTGAAAACATGAGAGCATTTTCCAAATACCCTCAGTGTAAAGGATAAACGTGCAGGTTCCTCTCCACCATGGCATGTGCTCCTTCTTAGAGAGAAATTGTCTCTGTGGTACAACTAAAAGAAATGAAAATAAGAACCCCAGCACTTTCTGTGATTGCTTTTGTGGAATGTAGTCATCCAAGGAAGAATTTTGTGCAGCTGGTAAAGGCGGTGTGACTACAAAAAAAATACAGCCTTCCTATAAATTCCCCGGGATCCCTGAGGAAACCTCAGGAAACAGGCTATTGCAATGCAGATTTGCATGGTTCCCTGAGGAATACTGCACTTCCACAAATCCTTCCCTGAAGAGATTTAGCTTTTCAACAGTTTGTGCTCAAGTACAATTAATTTTGATGGCCCCTGCACAATTACAAGTCTAATGTTTAGGTTTGCTATCAATTACCACACCAGACTCTTCCTGGGTCACTACTCCATGAGCTACTATGGATTTACTTATGTTGTAGCCATCTACATCATCTCTGGAAATAAAAAGCTTGGGGCACATGGGTCTGTCTGAACCAGCTGAAGTGTAAAGGAACGGTAACCACAATAAATAAATAAATAAATAGCCACTCAAGGGTTTGCTGTCAAGTATTAGAAGCGGGGAAGAAATTAATGGACACCTCCTCTGTTCTACAGCCTGAGATACAAGTTCAGTTTTGATTCAAACAATAGATGTTGATGTGAATAATAAGACCTGTGTGCAGGTCTCGTGTGCAAGCATTTGCTAATTAATGCAGTTTGTTAATGACAAGTATTGGGAGAGATGTTGTAAAAACCCAATCAGCCTGTGCTAGGAGTGAGCTGTTAGTCCTTTTCTGATTAAAAAAGTTTATCAGGAACCCCAAGAGTTTGCAGTCAAGGCTTCTTTAAGTTTTCTGCTTCAATATTCATCTATATACATCATCTATGAAATATTTACAGAGGAAACCACTTAAAACAATGAAATATGAATGAGTCCTTGGTGGAGGCGATGCATTTTCTCTGCCAGGTTTTACCCAGAGTAGTATTTGGGGAGGGAGGTTTATGCAGGAATGGGATCCTCTAATGAATCTGGCCAAGGGGAATCAATAAGACAGTAATTAATTTAACTCCTTCTCCCTATTTTTCAAAGTGACAGATTTATGATGGGCCATGAAAAGAACATTAAGCATTATCTTTTTCCCTCTGCTGGAGGCAGGGTGGGTGGATGAAGATAACGGGGCTGTGGTCATTCCCTATCTGACACAGGGATCTGCTGGTCACTGAGGGAAGTTCTGACCTAAAGAAAAAGGCACAAGGGAACAAGGAAGAGCTGGGAATAGCAGGAGAGCAGGTTTGGTTATGTGACTGCCTGGAGCCATTCTGGAGGAACCACCACCAAATGACAGCTGTCACTAGGAATAACCACGGCATATGGGGCACTTCCCAGGAAAACACAGTGAGATTAAACCATAAAATCACAGAACAACAAGCACACATTGCATTTGGTGAGGTTCTTTGCATTTATCTGTATTTGACCCCATTTACGAGCCATTTGAATTGCTGTACTTAGAAAGAAAAATTACTTTCCCTACAGCTTCAATTTGGTTTTTTCTTTTATTATTTTTCCCCAGATATCCTCCTCTTCCTTCTCTCTCTTTTTTCTTTCAATGTAAATAATAGAAGGATTCTAACAGCCATACCAGCTGCTGAAACTGAGAAATCAAAGCAATAAAAGAGCATTTAAGCCACCACTTGTATATTCATTCTTCCTCCCTTTCTATAAAGTCAGCAAGTTTCTTACATTCTTGATATTATATAATATCTTTTTATTCTTGACTATAAGTATTTTTCAACATTGCCTCTATTGCCACGTGTGAAAATTCCCTTTATCTTTAGGCTTCTACCACTCAGTCACCAATACAATGAAACCCAGAAAGCCTAAGAACCCCTGACAGGTCACATAAACTCAAAAGCTGTTCCACTGAAATTTGATAGAAATAGTTGCAGTTGCAATATTCGGATCACCACAGGAATTAAACAAGGGCTTGACTCGCTTTTTATGGATAAAACGTACAATAACCACTTTCCTACAAGAGTACAAAGACAGTAAACTGTGTGTGTGTGTGCTAAACTTTTCTTTGTTAGCACTAATTTCCCCTCTCCTTGATCAAATCAAAGGAACTACTAAAGCTCTTGAAAAACTACCACAGTTTCAATTTAGACCACTTCAGTTTAGTGAGCACTTTCAATTTAAAATACACACTCCAGCAATTCCTCTCGACCAAATACAAAATACTTTCCTTTACAGCTGCCCAGAATAATACAGGATTTGAGCTCTCTTAACTCTTACTCTCCAAACTCCAAGGGGAAAATATTATTGCATGCTGAGAGTCATTACAGCCATTCCAGCCAAGTTATTAAAAAAACCTGTAGTTTCACCAGTCTTTGCTGATACTTTCTGAGCAATAGTGGAGATTTTGGAAGTTTTTGTAGGTAAGTGTTTTCAGCATCTGTGTGACCAGGTTGTACCCACTCCAGCACCTGCAGAACTCCTTGGTGGCTCTGTTTATCCCAAAGATGTTCATGTTTGTAGGAGGTAAAATGGCTTTGTAAGCCAGCAGGGAGAGCCTGCTTCCAGGGAGTGCTGAGGAATTGCTGGAGGGAAGTGGAGTGGAATCTTTCAAAGATGGAAAGTTGCACTTTGAGGATGTGCAGATATTAAACAGAAGTCTTGTCAGTGTTTAGTAAAGCAGAATCAGAGTTTATAACCTGCTGAGTGCCCCTGCATCTCACCTGCCTGGACATTTCCCCGTGTTTAGACTGGACAGGTCAACTTTCTCCAAGCATTTCTCCTCCTAAGGATGAGGAACGCACCACCACTCCCAGCTTACAACTCCCACAGCTTCCCAGGAAAAACAACTTGATTATATGCAATACATGAAAATGATATTAGAATATCCTTACCACACATGGTGGGTGCAAATCCTGGGCAACTTTAGCCTCTTCTAACTCCTTCCCTTGGCTATTGCACTCCATAATGCCAAATCCTGCCAGGCTGGGGGGCTTTTGCTGCACTAAGGTGCTGCTTCCACTTTGAACCTGAATTTTCTTTACTCCTTCCACTTATATGATTTAAGGTCTTCAGTCCTTACACCATTACTTTCTATTTTCTGTATGGACTATTTATTTTACATCCAAAAAGAAGAACGAGGGAAAAAGGAAAAAAAAAAAAGGAATACCTTAGCAAAAGATGGAAGCATATGTTCCTTCTTTATGATGCTATATCCACTCTGGGAGCAGAAAATGCTATCAAGCCTCTTCTAACTTGAATATATTTAGTAACTTAAATCTCTGTCTAATAATTTCACTGATTTTCATACTTCACTGATAGTTCACAAGGAAGATAATATAACAACTTGAAAAAATGTTTACTCCTTCTTCCCAGTGTTTCCTCCTATAGCTTGCTATATATTATTTCCAGGATAATGAATACCAGTGCAGAACTATCTTCTAACTGTCATATGGTTTTACTTTAGTCATCCCGAAAGACTTGGGAATTGTTTTTCAATTGTTTTTGCACCCAATTCAACTAGTAACTCATAACATGCAGATCAGCTAAGTGAGAAAAAGAAAAGGTCAGGACAATCAGGAAAATTTTTAAAGAGGAGTATTTAGTGTAATCAAGTATTTGTTAATGCTTTGCCCTTCTACATGATTACTATTTTCTGGTTTGAAGTCATTTGTTGCAAGAAAAGGATAACTCTTATTCGTGAAATACCTCAAGAATGCATTCAGATATTCCCTGAGGTTTAATACATTTGGGAAAGTTGTCTCAGAAGCCTATTAGTTGACTTCTACTCCTTTTTGACTTACCTACGCTGTTTGACACAAGCCTCTGACGCAGCTGTAATTAAATGCTGTTGCTTAACTTCTGTCTGAATCCAGCTGGGGCTGAGGCATCCCAAAATAACAACAGGCTCCAGGATGCCTTTTGGGAGTTGGTGGTGTATCCTCAAAAGCTGGAACAGAACTGTGCCGAAATTATAGTTCTATATGTGATTTATTCTCAATGCTAAGGCCAACTTTTAATTCCCGACCCCTGTGCCAGTCAGACTTCTCATCTCATCACTCCCCATCAACACTCATTCTTACTTAGAGATTACACTTCACTTACAATAAATCCACCGGCCTGGTGCATTTTTTTACTGCAGTTTTCTGGCTAGTAGTAAAGCATTCTAATTTATTGAGCCAAATCTTTGCATTTTCACAGAAGCTTTACTCACCCCTTAAATTTGCCTTGTGAAATCCGAATAATTCCAATATTATACGTTAGAAAATAGTAGGGCAGACTTCTGCATAAGAATTACTGATAAATTATTTGCTGACACAGCTCACTGTTCACACACATCCACAATCACACTGCTACACAGGTATTTTTTTAACCTGTACAAGACCTCTCTGATGGTTTTTCCTAAATCAACCCCGGGGGGTTAAATAGCAAGGTCAGGGTTACGTGGTTATTACAGTTGCCAGGATTAGGAAAAAATATCTATCAATGAGAAAATTCAGTAATACCAATAAATAAATAACACCTCTACTGCCTGAAAGCAAAATAATTCTGAAAGGATGGTCTTAAAAAGTATTGCAAACTTGAAGGAAAACTGAGATTAAAACCAAACTGATGAGGAATTATGTCAGTACACCCTCCTTTATTCCTCTGGAGGAATAATCCACTGCCCCAGGTTGCTCCAAGCCCCGTCCAGCCTGGCCTTGCACACTTCCAGGGATAGATGCTGGGCAGTTGTACCTCAGCAAAGGCTCTGTTGAAGGGAAAAGCTGGTGTTTGGATTTGCTCTGGATGTCCCTGCAACTGTGAAACGTGGATGGCAGTGTTGCTGGAACAACCTCTCTTGGGAGGTTTCCTGTACTTTCTGCTTGCAGCATCGCCAAGAATATTCCTAAGGCAGCTTTTTCACAGCAACTTGGAATTTCACACTCTAGATGAAAGCCATTCAAAAGCAACCAGAGTTTAAAAGAAACAGAGTATTTCAGGTTGGCTGTATTAAACTGAAGAAATAAGCAGGCTTAAAGGGAAAGATTCCTTCTTTTGGAATCCAGAATGGATTTTTTGGATCCAGGATGTCTCTGGATCTCTGCCTGTAGCTGGAAACAACTGAAATGGCACAGTAGCATAGCTGGCTTATCCATGTTTTTAAAAAGTACTGTCCTCTCTTAGCCTGGGGAAATATATTCCTGTAGGATTTTATCCTCTGGGTGCTTAAGAATTCCACCTCAAGCACTGTGTCGTGTTTTACCCACCAAATTCCAGGCAGGAAAAAGCTCTGCTCCCCACGACCTGCGGGAAAGGTCGCTGGTCTCTGGAGAAACCTCCCAAAGCAGCCTCCAGTCAGTGTGTGTGCAATGGCTCACACGAGAAATATTTCCATCTCCAGCTTCCCCAAGGATATCTGTTTAATTTTGGACTTTTTTTAAAAAAACACCTCTATGTCAGCAGCTGAAAAACAAGGAGACGTGTTGGAGTCGGCTCTGGAACTGCTCCTGAGCTCTCACATGGGCTGTGCTCAATGCCAAAGAGTTCCAGTGCTTGGGTCTCACTGGAATGTCGTCTGTGGTGTCACCACGGGCACAGCTTCCAAGTCCTGCAGATTTAATGAGCCTGAGCACGCTTCTCACATCCCCAAGCACAGCAGCTGGAACCTGAAACAGATATCCCAAGCTTCCTTCCCTAAGGATGGTATGTAGAGAGGGCCTAAGGCGAGCCATCAACACCCAGAAGCCATGGATTTAGGAGGATTTAGGGATGGAAAAGTAGAGGTGCTCAAATTCCAGGGTCAGGATGCTTAATAAACTACTTGTCTTCCTGTGAGACTAAGTTTGCTAACATCACATGATAACACAAGTCTCTTGGTTTATCTTTGGTTGCATAAACATGGTTTTGTACTAAATATGCACATAGACAATGATTGAGAATACATGTTTTAAACAGTCATCTGCTGGTGTGAAAACCCAGATGAATGCTTTTGTTGTCTGGGGGTTTTTTGTTTCAAAACTGGATGAAGAACCAACATGTCTTCTGCTTTACAAGCCAATTCTGCCTGTATTTTTTCCCAGAGGCCAAGTATGTAAAGCCAGAGTCTTCATTTGCAGGGAACTCTACGGTTATCTTCCATGCTTCTCTAATCCCACATTTTCTCTAATTCTACATTTCACAGCCCAAAAACTTTTAGGTCCAGCTGAACAATCCTCAGAGCATTGTCCCTTACTCCAAGAGCTGGTTGTTATTCTCCCAGAGCTGCAGAGAGCTCGTTCCAGATACAATTCCAGCTTTTCTCTCATGCTCCTCAGGTGCCTGTTCTTCACAGGAGCTGCTGCTAAATGTGAGAAACATGGAGAAAGAAGTCACAGCCACAGCATTCACGGAGAACATGAAAAGATATATTGTACTTTTCAGGGAAGAACGCAGCTTGGGAGGCAATGAGAATGAATCACAGTGAATCATTTTCACTCACTGAACTTAGTACAGAAATGGGGGGAGAAGGGCTGAGCGCGAAAATATTCCCTCTCTCATTCTATAAAGTAACAGCTAAACCTTCTCAGGACTCCTTTGAAAGCTGTATGAAACATTTGGTGTAGATACACTTTCTGTACAAGCCCTCGGCAGAGTGAAATCATACAGGAAGAAAACCCACAGGCTGATTTTACAGTGGCAGCAAGTGCTACAGTGGCAGGATTTGGGATTTAGAGAGTTTTGTATAATTATAGAATCATTCAGGTTGGAAAAGCCCTCTAAGATCATCGAATCCAACCGTTTCCCTGGCACTGCCAAGGCCACCAAGTGCCACATCTACATATCTTTTAAATCCCTCCAGCGATCGTGACTCAAACGAAGCCATGGGTCATGAAAACACTGCAATAAACTGCATTTTGACCGAAGTTACTCTGGTCATTCTGGGGAGAAAACACCTTCAGGAAGATCAAAAGGCAGTCTGGCACAGTTCTAAACTGGAAATCCTTTGAAGAGAACGAGCTAAATCGATGAGGAGCCGGTGAAGAGGGATGGGAACTGAAACTCGCAGGGGGAAAAGTTACAAGGAGAAGACCAGCACATACCCCAGGATTCCAGTGAGGAGTGTTCAATCCCTTTTTCCCCCCCAGTGGTTCTTGGATGAAGCAATAAGTGCAGTTGTCTCTGGAGAAGGAGGGTAACAATGTTTACCAAGTCCATTTTGCACTGACTCATCTCCACACCACGTTACTACAAGTTGGCCTCTGCTGGGGAAGAAAGCCTGGCAGGAGGAGATTCTTCTCTTGCTCAAGGTCTTCTTGCTGACTAGCAAGGGCCAAGTTCTCCAGAGGAGCTGGAAAAGGTGCCAGGAAGTGTAACTTGGTGTGTTTTTCTTTTCTTTCTTGGTCACAAAAAGGAGTTGCTGCCCAGTACCACAGAAGATACAAGTACTCCCTTCCCAATCCTCACCATGTAAAAGGGAAGAGCTCCAGAATATTGAGGATTCCCCTGACACCCCAAATCAGAGCTCTCTGTGCCCTCCTCCCCACCGCCCCCCCCCCCTTTAATTTAAAAAAAAGAATGACCTCACCCTTTCTTTGGAAAAAATTAATAAACTACAAGGCATCTTAATGACAAATCCTTACTGGGATGAGTAATTCTTTGTTGGAGAACTGCACCTGGAGTAGGAGGTTTTTGTGTTTGGTTTCAATCTACACACACCTTCATGGGGAACATAAAGAATTATAAGATGATCAGAGGGCTAGACCAGGAAATTAGAATTGAAAAAACAATTTGAAAGAGGGTGCACATATCTAATGATCTGGGTAATTAAACATTGGAACAATTTAGCAAGATTGGGGCGGATTTTCCATATGGTTTAACATGTTTGTACTTAGACTGCTTCGTAACACGGTATCTGTAGCAAATTTATAAACACAGTTTGCTAACACAGATTTTTGCTTCAACTTGCAGCAAGTGCATAAATAGATTTGAAATTGTTCACAGGAAGGCTAATTAAAAAAATGAATCACTGTATCAGCCATGCTGGTGATCCCACCCACCCTTCAGACAGCACAGGGAGAGTTCAACTCATCTCCAAAAGGGCAGATTGGGTTAGAAAAGAAAAATCATATTCATAAGAGATTTATAATTAAAGCCAAAGATTCATTTCCGTTGGAAACAGATGGTCAGGCAAAGGGATAATTTAGCTAAAGCCTGTGCTTCAACTTGCTAACAAAAGCATGGATTTAATCTTCCATCCAGTTGCACGGGGTAACCTGTTTATTGTGCATTATGGATCAGGGGATATCTGCACCACTTAAAAACCAGCACTGCTGCTTTCAGTATAAAGAAATTAAAACTGCAAGTGAGGAGAAAAACGAACAAGACTTATAAAACTCCAGGGGAGAATGAAAGACTGAGGGCTGGGTGAATTGGGAGGAACCTAATGTGGTGATAATGGGGGGTAGACATCGAAGATATCACTGAGATGTTGTGGTGGGTAAGTGGAGGGCATTGGATAGATAACAAAGAGGTTGTTTTTCTTTGTTTCTTCAAGGTGAACTAAGGAACCAGTTGCAGTATTGTATGGACAAATCTCAGTGACAGCACTGGAAACACACCTTCATACCTTGGGAAGTCTTCTATCTCAGGAGACAACATGGAGGAGAATCACTGACATGTATTTTCTTCTGGGAATAAAGGAAAAGTGTTGGTAACATGACATCTAAACTGGTTTTCCTTCCACCTACCCTCCCCATAATGAACAATTTTGGTTCACTGCTGTCACACCTACCTTAGGAATTCCCCAAATGCCCATTTAAACCAGTGTGCATCTCACCTGGACCTGTGCAGAGCAGCAACTACAAACCCTCAAACCTGCCCTGCTTTCCTCATTAAAGCTGTTAATGCTTCCAGCAGTACTGACGCCCTTGCAGGGCAGCTCTACTTCTGTTCAGATTTTCTGAAGGTACTTGGTGAAAAAAAAAAGCATGAAATAAATGATCTTTGGGGAAATCATATCAGTAGGCAATTACAGACTGAATAAGTCTGGAATCAGAAGACAGATGGAGTGAATTTCCCTATTCACCAGTGATAGACCAGCACATTGCACTCAGAATGAGGATTTGTCCACAGCCATGGAAATGGAGCAGCTATTTTATGGCACTGATTACTCACCTACAAGATCTTCAACATGTTCTGTTGGGAAATGCAACCACTAAAACACTTCAGTTATGCAAGAGACCCTGAGGGCTATATCTGAATAAATGCAATATCTCTGATTTAAATAAGTGGGAATTAAACAGAGTCTACTCTCTGGGATTGGAAAATAAGAAAAAGTGACTTGAAAATTTACTCCATAGAGAAGGACATCCGTGTTTTCCTTGAATTGGACATTATAGGCATGGTTGGTATTAGTATATTTTGGGATATAAAATATAGTAAAAGAGTTTATTCTGTATCCTTTCTCTTGTCTAAATTTTCATGTCATGTTTAGCACTGGGACTTTTAGAAAATGACTGTAGGAGATGAGACAAAGAATAGAAATGCTTTTTCTGGGACAGTTTCAAACTTGAGGTTTTTCGTTTTTTTTTTAATAAGAATAAACAACACCTAAGGAGTAAAAGATTGCCTGACATGGACCAACAACAATAAACACAAACTGCACAGGCAGCTCCCCGCCTGGGAGTGCCATCCCAAGCCCGGAGCAGCAGGGGATGCTGTAGGCTCAGTGCAGCCCACAGGGCAGAGTCTGAGGAGTGCTCCTTTCTCCTCAGAAGGGAGTATTCCTCTATATAGTTTGAGTGACACTAATATTGGAATATTTTATTCACTTTTAATGTCCACATTTTTCACAGTCTACCGAAAATCTGGAGAAGGTGTGCAAAAAAGCCTCAACTTGTATTTGGGAACTGGAGAAAGTGCCATACAATGATTAGACTCCATGGAGCCAATCTGTTCAGCTTCTAAAAAAACTGAAATGTTGGAATGCAGATGTACAATCATAAGAAAACACCAGGTGCCAAAGGACTCTTTGTCTTGGGGATAAAAATAACATAAGGCTGGAATCTGTAGTCAGACAAAAAATCTAATTAGAAAGAAGGCATATTAACTCAATATTAACTCAGATATTAACTACTGCAAGAGATTTTCAATGGGAAGTAATAGATTCCTAACATTTTTCTGATGCAAATCACAACCGGATGTTTTTCTTCGTGTTAGTTCAAGAAACAGTTACCTTCTAGTTAAATAAAATTTACTGGGTCTGAATAATGAAGTGGGAATTAAAGACAAAGAGAGGAAATGGCAACCTGAATTGTGTGTCTTTAGCAAGACACTGTGTATGTCACAAGGCTACTGTTATTATCTGCTTATGAATTCAGCTGAATTTAGGATTATGCTGTAGGAAATGTTACCTGTGTGGTTTTGAGGAACGACCATGACTAAGAGAAGAAAGATTTTAGCTGGACTTCAAGGACTCTCTCCCAGTACAAGGCCTCCTGCTGGTCTCTGCTGGCACAGATGGGAAGGAAAAAGATGTCAGTAAGATCTCAGCCTGCTGAGAATCTTCCACTGATTTCAGTACAAGCATCCCATCAGTTCAGTCAGTGCGTGGGAGTAAGAGAGTGATGGGAGAGAAGGACAGGAACCACAAAGGGCACCACTTCATCTCAGCCCGCTCATTAGCTGGGATAACCATGGGCTCTTGGCATACTCACATGTTAGGAAGTTTAATGACTGCTGTTAAGGACTCTGTGGCTGTGGGAGGCTGAGGAGAGCACTGGAAACAGCACAGCCTGTTCCTCCTGACACAAACCAGGCACTTCTTGTTCTTCTCTGCTGCCATTCCACGCAGGGGGTTCCTAAGCAGGCTTTCACATCCGATGTTGAAAGCAGAATTAATCATGTAGCCTTTTTACTTGCAAAGAGAAGAGAAAAAAAAATATCTAGTGGTAGTAAAAATCTCAAAGAAATCATGTCTAAAGACAAAAGGTTGTGAGTTGCTGAAGTCATCAGGGCAGAAGGCCAGGGCTCTGTGCTCTCTCTGTACTTTTGCAAATCCTTCTTTGTGGATTTCTTTCAAATCCTCCACTCCATGGCCACATAGTAATAGGAGATCAATAATTTAAGTGTGTTGGAAAAGGCTCTGGCTAAGAGATTGCTTAGGGATCGCTTGAGAGCCCAAATGATTTGCTAAAGATGAACTGCACTGACCCAAAAGCTCTGATATGCTCTTTATCAGCACTAACTGTATTCCCTCCATCCAGAGTGACAAAATGTAATGGAATCTGCTAAAGAAAACCTAAATAACACTGGAACCAATTACCATCAATAAGGTATGCTGTCGGAGAAAGACTTTTAAAAGTGTTGCCCAGAGGTAAGAAACTACTAGTTACGCCCTTGACCTTCAAGTTTTGCCAATATTCCGAGCTTTGAAGGTTGGGTTTTATAAGAAGAAAATCAGATGATGATAGATGAAATACTTCTTTAATGACATACAGTTCACTCTCCCAAAATGTTCCTTTTAAGCAACTTGCAATTTCTTCATTCAAAGTATGACAGCAGTCACAATTTGGTATTCTTCATCTTCTCACAGGGCCACATTTCCTCTCCTTCTCCAGCCATCTTAAAAATTACAAATACATCTTGGTTTTCTGAAAGGAATTAATTAGTCTAATGCATTAGACTTTGGCAAACCTCTCCAGATGTGCTGGATTCTCCGATCCTAGTGATGTCCTTTTCCAAAATGCCCTCTATATACCAGTAATAAAGACCCATTCCCACTCATCAAGTCCCTCTTCCTCCTGCTGCAGTTCTGAGCTGCGTAGGCTTAACAAGTGGAAGCAAAACCATATTTAAAAGAGGAATAAACATACCCTTGCCACATAATGCTGAAAAGCAATCTTTTTAAGCAAATCTAGAGAACAACAACAGACATCACAGCCTGCCCTAATTTCAGGTGATTAAATACTTGACTTTTACTGAGACTCAGATGTTTATAAGTGATTAAAAAAATGTATCTTTCAGGCAATGTTTGTATGACATTTCAGGACCCTGTTCTCCCCTCGCTATGGAAATTCATAATAACAGCTATTAATCAGTTCTGTTACTTCAGTCACAAGTTAAACTTCAGCAACACTGCCCTGATTATAACTGAAATGAACGGAATTTATGAAATAACTTTTAACCATATCATGGATTATACCTTTGTTGCAACATTAATTCAAATCCAGGCACTTAATTATATCTTCTTTCCTCCTGTTATCTATATTTATATTTACTGTTATCAACTTGCTTGGCAGAGGTGAAAACAAGCATAACTCAGGGAAAGAGAACATTTTTGTATTTTCACACTGGCTTGCCTTTGACACAAATCTTCCACTTCATCAAGACCTTGACTTATGTTCCATAGAAAGGAAATCAAGTATATTACTGAGTACTCCTCTGAACAGGAATGGGGTGCTGAAGTGGAGCTTGTGTAATTTAACTGCTAAATTAAGTCTCATGCTCTTTTTTTCCCCTTGGGAATACACATTCTTTGCCTGTTCTAGGAAAGGAGAAAATAAAAGACTGAGAGCAGCCGCAGAATAGTTACCACTGCCCTGAGGGCACAGTTCATTAAGTGAGTAGTCAACAGGCACATTGCATGTTCCAGGGTCTTTCTCTGAGCTAACATTTTTTGGACAAGTGGACCTAACACTGAGAAGGTATTTTATAGTGTCTGTGGTATGAAGCAAACTAGATTTTACTCACTTTACTTGAACATCACTGATGAATATTCACTGGGTTTAAAGCCAGATAACAAAAGGAACTTGCTGTTAGTCTGGGAATGGTACATACTGAAAATCAACAGGTATTTTTTTTCAGGACTTCTGTATAATGTACATTAATAGTTGGTGAAGGTACAGTCCTTCATTCATACATCTCCTTATCTGAAAAAAAAAAAAATCCTTTAAAACATACTAAAAGCTATTTTCTTCCTTTCTTTCTTCAGAGATTTCCTGAACCACCTTTGGAGCAGAAACTGGTAGATCCAGCATCCCCATTTGCTCCAAAGAATTCCACTGTGAGGAATTCAGTATCTCCCCATAATTTAGGGAGAATTCAGACATATTTCTTTTGTCTAATTGCATTGTGGAAACTACTCTCATTCTTTGTCATCAACCAAATCTGAAGCTCCTTCAACTGAAAGAAATTTCACCAGCAAGTCCTTTCCTAGTTTATTCTCTAAATGCTGTTCTTCATAAAAGGTAAATGAGTGTAGGAGACCAGAGGAATGGCTGAGTGATTCAAAAGAACGAGGTGGGAAGTGTGAGGGGGAACAGGGAGAGATCTGCATAGATAGGATGGCCACTGCTCCACCCCCATCCCCTTGAGCTTTAGTCAGCCTCTGGTCCACACTGGAATGGCAGCAGCAAACCCTATGACCTGACCCAAAATGGCAGAGGGACCCCATGGCCTGTCACAAAATGGCGGACTGACCCATGGCCTTTCAATAAATGGTAGACTGACCCATGGCCTGCCCCAAAATGGTGTAGTGAGCCCATGTCCTGCCCCAAAATGGCGGACCAACCCATGGGCTGCCCCAAAATGGTGTAGTGAGCCCATAGCCGGTCACAAAATGGTGGACTGACCCATGATCTGTCACAAAATGGTGGACTGAGCCCATGGCCTGGCCCAAAATGGCAGAGTGAGCCCATGGCCTGTCACAAAATGGCAGACTGATCCATGACCTGCCCCAAAATGGCGGACTGATCCATGACCTG